TTTTAAGTTGACTAATAGCTAATTTAAAAAATGGATGAAATCTTTTTGCTGCTATTATATCTGTATTTGCTGAAACTCCCTCTGTACCCATATGAAATATAATATCTGGTTCATTATCTCGTTTATCTAAAGGTAACATAGAAGTAATTAAATCTTGAACTTTACATTTTACATCAAGATCAAGATAAATACCACCAAAATGAAATAATAATAAATATTTCATAGCATCGATTCGTTGCATATCATATCGATAATTTTGATAAGTAGGTAAAAACCATGAATAATGAATTTTTAACCATTCTAAAATTTTCCTATGAGTCCATAATGTATAATTATAACTTGAATGTAATTCCATACAAGCATTAGCAGCTATTTGAAAATTTTCATAAATTTCTTCATTATTTCTAGATGAAATCCAAATTTGATGTATATATCTAGGAATTCTTCTCTGAGATTGATTATTAGCAAGACCTTGCCAAACTTGCATATCAAGTTTTATCATATTACTTCTATTCTGATCTTCTGTAAAATGTTTTATTAAAAATAAACCAGTTTGAAGAATATGAATCAAAGTAAACAGTACGATGATTAAACATATGATCAGTTTAATGTGTCGACCGTAATGGTATCGAAGATATGTCCATAATTGAATTTTGCCCTTATATTTCTGTTTTGTATAGTGTTGATATTTTTGCATAATTATTAAATTCTTTTTTTTCACTTTTGTCAATCTAAAATATGAAAAAGAACATACAATGACTATGAAAATAAAAATTCATTATTGTTTCTCCTGTTAACTAAAAGAAAATTCTATTTTCTAGAGTTTGCTTCAAAGTCATATGTACTAAAATATACACTTGATTTATGAATAATAGTTTATGATTTGTGGTCTCAAAAAAATAATAACTAGTTTAACAAAATCCATCTCTATTAAATAAGACGTAACTGCTTCGAAGTAAGTAGGTTATAAAAATTAGATTCGACATGTTTTTTTTATAAATTTCATTACAGAACGTGATCCGAGAAAACGTCATTTATATACTTTCTATATTTAATTGTTTTGATCACAAATCATTATTTGATATCGAATTTTATCAAAATTAAATATAGAAATAGTTTCAAGAAAAACTCTTTCATGATCTTCTCAATGCTATGAATTTTTTATCTATTGTATAACCTTAGTTAGCTCTGTTTACACGTGCTTTAATAGACTAAAGTTCTTTTACGTGATATTAAATTTATTTTATCTATCATATCATAATAAGACAAACCTTATAGTTGCATTTTTCAGTTGACAAAGATTTGTGTTATAACTGAACTGTGCTAAAGTTTTCGAGTCAATAGATCAGCCACATGTTTTACATAGAAGAAAAAACAAGACACTCTACTTTTGAGTATATGCAATACGGACAAAGAACTCACTCATACATTAACGCATTTTATCTGTGCACTAACGTAAGCAACTATCTATATGATAAAATACAAAATGATTGATATGTTATTCAAAAAATAAAAGCAATCATTTCTTATCAAGATGTTAAAAATTCAAAATCATCGTAAGAGTTTTTGCACATAGTTAAATAGAGAGTATGTTAGGTACTCTAAAAACCAAATTTTTTATCCTTTATTATTCTTAGTTTTTCCAAACTGATTATTTGCTTATTGATGAGATAAAACTTGCTATGAAAAGCTATATTGTCTATTGTTCAAATAAAATTTAATTATTATTTCAATGACAAAATCATACAAAAACGTGCTGGTATTCAGTGATTTCAACCATCATAATTTCATTCATGAGTAAAATGTATGTCATATTCGAATTCAGCATCAAAAGTTAAGTTCAATGACATACGTTTCAATATAGGAGTAGAGTATTCCTGGAAAATATTTTCCGATTAAATCTCTGTCATCCCATTCAACTTTTGATGATGAATGCGAATATTACTCACAAATGAAATTATGATGGATAAAATCACTAAGTACGAGCTCGTTTTTGTATGATTCTGTCACTGAAATAGAAAATTTTCATTTTCTCGATAATGAACTAATATTTTCCCATAGAGGACAAGATGAAATACAGAGCAGAGGTTCCACTGAATTGATGGATCGAGCTCGATTCTGCCCAGCCCATAAACCGAATTTTTTTTTGAATGGAAAACTAGTGACTAGATCGGATTCAAGGTGGATAATCCATGAGTCGATTTTCTTCGATTCAGAATTCGTACGACTATTCTTCAGTCAAAGAAAATCCTAAATAATCTATTTAAACGTTTGCAATAAAAAAAGAAATTATAAATCGCATGCATTATTTAATGGCTAATAAACTTAATCTAGTTTCTAAAGAAGTAATGTTCAAGTTTTAAAAGAAGTTTCAAATTTTCCATGTAGAAACTTGAAACTCGTAGTGGCAAGACGTAATTCAATTTGAATATATCTTGATAAAGTCACGGACATAACCATTAACTGCGTACTCCTAACAGCTCAATTTTCTTTTATAACGAGGAAACATTTCCAACTAATCAATATATGCTTATAAATTGTGAAGCAATTCCTATTAGCTCGGATATTCTGAGACTTTTTCTAAAAATAATATCTTAGACATTGTTTCGCATATTTTTCCAGAGCTAGAATTCATCTCTTGAAGAGATAAAACCTTGTCGGCGTAATCTCTTTGAAATTGAAATATGAAAGACACATATCTTCGTTAGCTTCATTATGCTTATACAAAATACGATAGGTCTTTTTCAATGATAACTGATTATCAGCACACGCTGCCTTTTTTTTTATTTGTCTTGTTGCTTTTTGCTTGGCTTCATTTTTTTCAATTTATTATCGTTCATCTAATGGTTGATTCAATCAACAAATAAGCTTGTTGTACACATTCGTTATATTTACATCAGATCTTAACAATTTATAATGAATCTCAAGGAAATCAGAAACGTTGATATTGATTATTCCCGATGGTTAAATCTTAATCAATTCATACTTTTATGTTGATCATATAGTCGGAGTTGGAAATCAAAATATCATCCTTTTCGTTTATAATTTAATTATTTTTCTGTACAAAAATCAGAAATTTCATTATGTAGAACATAGAAAAACGTATATTTCAGTCATGTAAATTTCAAGCAAAGTTCTGTAATGTTTTAGAACTTTCTCAGTCCTGTAATTGATGGCGTTCAACACCTTTAATTCAGGTTTCTAAGGTAACAATAGTTCCTGTTATCCCTATATTTGTGTATTAGTAAATCGAGCTTAAGGACTTTCAAGCCCGTTAACTCTTAATATTAGCAGCGATCGTAAATTAATAAGCAACGTAGTATATAACACGTTTCTATTCGAGGTTAAAACACTTACCTCTGCCTTTCTTGCTTTGTACAAGAAGATTTACAAGCAATTGTTTCGTTAGTTTGATGAATGATGAATTTCTTTTTGCGTTCTCATGGCTCACATGGAACTCATTTCAATTTTTTCGAAGAGAACGACTTATCAACGCTCGAATGGGTGTTTTTTCTTCTGCCAACACACATATGAAAAAAAAAACTTCTTGTCGCCAGAGCAATCGATCGCTGCATGTGCCTTAATAAATAATGTGTATGGAAGCCTCTGTTTTGACATTGAAAATTTTTTTTCTTTTCTCTGTAATTCGATGAAAAAGCTCATATTTGTAGAGGTATTCTTCGACAGCTATCGATATTGTTTATTGCAAGTTGAGAAGTATTGCTCTGCAGATATGAATCCATTCTTTCTAACAATAGCAACTATTCATCCTGTTCGTTGCATTGATCGTTACTCTGTCAATCTAGGTTATCTTGCTGAATCTTATAGGGAATCGAATCATTGATACAATAAGAAATACCTGCTATGCGGTAAAATTTGACAAAAATACAGTGAAGACTCGTCTCCTCGCTCTACATCCTCAACTTTGTAGCATATCTATAGACCTAAGAATTCTGATTTCAGTTAAATGACCCAAAATTTTGAGAATGAAGGTTTGAAGAATCATAGAACATCAGAAGTTTATACTATCATTTTTATTTAATATTCATATTGATCAAGCAAAAACAATAGTGACAGTAAACAATATACTAAGAATACTGCACTTCTTTCAATCTAATATAGTTTCAATTTGTAATCTATAAAATGCATTTCATTCATGATGTTCGAAATAATGGTTCTTTCAAATTTACTCACAGAAATGTATCTCTAATTTTTCTTTGAAATCAAACTGATCAAGGCGATCGTTGATTTTCAACTACATATTCATTGTTAAGTTTCATCTACTGAAAATCTGATTTTCAAAACGAGAAATATTCCCGTATATTTTCTCAAATATTTTCTGCACAATCGATTCTCTTCTCCAGAAAGTTCGATCAAATGATATCATGAATAAAAAAATACTTGCAACATCGTATACTGCTCAATACAATCAATGTTCGTTTGTTCCATAGAAAGTCACTTGAAAAAAGAAACACACTGACAAAAACTCGAACAAGAAAATATTTTCTACTTTTTCGAATTGAATCAATTATCGAAAACAAAGAATAACTATTGTCAATAGATAACATTTCTCAACGATGATTCTAAATAAAAACACTGTCAACTGGCGAAATAAACATTACGACAAAGTTCAAAATGTGTGCTGCAATCTGAAATTGTTCAACAAAGTAAATTGAGCTTATTTAAAATGCGATTTCATCAGTAACAAAGTATCAGTTTTCGACTGCATGCATAATAACGATTCTTCTTCTATTATAATTCATTTCATTCTATTGGATTCGTCTTTTTATTTCATGATTTTGTATCAAAAAAGCATTGAGCAAACAAGGAAAGAGTCACTTCAAATCATGATTGTTCTAAAATAACTCTCGAGTTGATAAAAACACTAATAAAATAAACTATTAAATTAAAATAATTAATCCAATGTCTTATAATTTCAGATAGTAATAATAACATTATTACTGATTGAAAAAGTCATGTGGGACTAGGACAGTATTACTTATCTAACATCACTAGTAAACAATCTGTTAATTGAATCTGTTAATGAAATATAAGAAACATGATTATTATGATTACAAGAAAAAGTTGTTGAACAAAAAAAAGTAAAATAAAACTATTTCAACATAAATAACTAATAAATCTTTGGTAATGTTCTAACACATCAGATAGTTGACTTCTTCCTTCACATGGCAAGCTGACACCATAAGTACCTAGAAGAAATTCACAAAATTGATATATTTGAGCAAAAATTATTATTTTCCTATGAAATAATTTAAATACATACACCACAATGTCATTCTCTCCATTTTGCACATTCCTCACATACTATACAATGTCAATAACAATCTTCTTGAAATATATCATTGTGACAAAATGAATAATAATGCATTGTTTTATCATCTGATAGAAGCATTCGAAAAAGTTTTTGAGTATGAGATAATTTTTCATTTTCACGAATTGTTTGCCATTTCTTTGTCCATTCAGTCAAATCTTCATCATAAGACATATCTGGAAAACTAAATATTCAAACATGATAACATATTAATATGAATGTTAATAAAAAACAAAAAACAGAGCTAAGTGAATAATTTACCAAGGACATTCCATAATACATTGACGTAATTCATCACGATCGATCATTTTTAATCCATCTATATTTTTAGCATGTTGAACGAGTCACCGAGAAAAACAAGGATTGGCAGCACATTTTTTATTATTACCAAAAAAATATTCAAGATGAACCACATCCACATAATGAATTACATCCACTACCAAATTTAAAACAAGAACAAGAACGTCTCGAACATTATTTTTTAACAATTGCATTTATCCTTTTTTTCATAATTTGGATTTTTCTCTGTTATTTGACAACTCATTGAATCTTGATTTTCTTGTTCATCTCCGTCAGAATCGTTATCATATCAGATTATCAATATTATTTTAATTACACGATAAATCAATAAAGTTTTCTAAAATTAAAAAAATCATCTTTCTTATTGCGTTTAGAATCATTGATTCACATAAATATACTATTATGTATACGAAGTGTTTGTCGTTATTCTTTTTCACTCGTTTTCTGAACTTCTTTTGTTTGTAATTCAGTATTATACAGACAGTCCATTGGAATCCTTAAAGAAAATTAATCAATTGCAATTGGAAGGTATGTACTATTTCATTGCATTATATGCCTCTGAAAACAGGTTAATCTCTGAAAGGAAACATGCTTTTTAAACTTCGTTTCTTTTATTGAGAGATGACGCTATAGAATGGTCTTAAAGACCACAAGTTAAATGCGGTGTAAAGCTTTTTCTAAAAATTATTTTGAAAAATCAATATTATTTATTTTCAGTTCTCGTTCGTCACACAGAAATTAATAAATAAACTTCCTACGTCGAAAAACCTACTCCAAATTTTTATGAAAGAATGACTAATCTGAAATGTATCAAATTTTGTAGCCCTTCATATCTTAATAAGCTACTTGTGTCCTTTGATCATATCATCTATGTGAGTGCACAATGAAAAAGAATAGACACAAAAGCACAATAAAAAAATAGTTCGAGCGTATCAATCAATACTGCACTCTATTACTCTCTATCAAACGAAAATAAACGTCCTTGATCAGCATCCAAGCAAATACTAAACAATCATTGTTTAATCTTATGACAAAATATGCTCACGAATATAGAAGAATGGAAATTCATAATAAGAAAGCAATTTTTTTTATCAAAACTCTTAACTCTTATTGAAAAGAAATTCTTCATTTAGACCAAAGCCTTTACAGCATCACAACAATTTGTATGTTTTTAGTTGAATATAGACCATAAAAATATATGTTACTTTTAAATTATGCATAGCCTATATTAATCCTAATAGATCATAGACATTCGCTTTTTTTTTAAAGTTTTTGGAGACCTCATGAAAATATTGATTTAGGACACAATTCCCTTGAAAAAGTGTATTTTTGCCAAAAAAATGGTTTTAAAGTTTTCAATATAACAGCGTCTATTTCAAATATTCATAAAGCATCTTTTTACTATGGAATATTTCGGATAGATGTGCTTGATGTTGATTTTCAATGAAAAGTAGATCAAATTTCAGGTAAAAAGCTCTTACGCTTTTCTCACATCTGAATCAATCTCTGCATGAACATTTAAAAATATGAAAATTTATCACGAAAAACAAAACTTCAAGAGATTTATATTAATTTCGGTATATAATTCATCCTTTATGTTATTTTTTTTTATTAAGATAATAGTTTATAACAATAAATAGTCAATATCCTTACTTCCATGATACTCATCATTTTGTATTTTATTATGATTTTTGTTTATATAATATAGAAAGAAAAGATGCCTGCTCTCTCTCTCTCTCTCGCTCATATGGTCAATGAAATAACACAATATATACTCGTCAAAGAAAAATACAATAAGAAAGATTCGACTGTCCTAAAAACTAAATCACATCACAATACACAACAACACAATAAAATAATAATATATAATAAATCTCACTGTTGAATGTCCTGAACTTACATGCACACAAATCAATACAACATACAAAAAAAAAATTCATGGAGAGATTCAAACGAACACAAATTGTGAAAAGATAATAGCACACGAGAATCCATTGAAGAATATCAGTATGAAATGTATATATGTGTATAGACTTAGGAATTAGAGAAGAAGAAGAGAAGAAAAAAAAACTGAAACATTTATGAGTGTGCACTGAGCATGATGTTTGCATATGTTAGTTCAGGTAATTAAAAAGAAAAAGAAAAGTTTTGTTGTCACATTGTTTTTATTGTTACACTGCTACTGTCATTTTCTTTTGAATGTCGTCAATTAATGTATCGCCAACACACTAAAAACAAAAAGAAAATCTTATTTTTTATGATTGAAAATAATAAATTTTCACAAACAAAAAAAAAACAGTATTATCACAATAATTATAGCTAACGCACAGACAATATATAAATTACCCATCATAAAATCTATATTTTGATATTACTCGGCAGACTTATATTGAGCTCATATGTAGGGATAAACTAGAAGAAGCAGAGCGAAAGAAAAATTTATCAAACAAAGAAGTAGAAGAAGAAAAGAATTAGCCTTTCACAAAGAACAATTTATATTTAAATAAATTACTTACGGCACAAAATTCATCAAAACTTATTTTACCATCACCATCTTTATCGGCATTGATAATTGTCTATTAAAGAAAAATATTCATATTTTTTTTAGGAATATAAAAACTATTCATCTTACTTTATCAACAATTTGTTGTAATTGTGAATCTTTCAAATTTGAACCAACCATCATTTTCAATACTTGAAATAATTCACCTAAACAAAAAAAAACAAACAACAAAATAATTGTTCATGTTCAACTTCAGATAATTTTATTATTGAAAAGAATTCATCTGTTTGATAGAAACATAATAGTTAATTTTAGCTCACATTGCAAAACGAGTCTGCACTAGAAATCAGACTAGTTCGAATTACGAGCTATATTTATTTTTTTTTTGTTCAATTTAAAAATGATAACAGATAGGATCGAACCATTGCTTCACTCAAATTACTGTCTTACCACTCAACCAAAATTATATTAATATAAATATGATTTAAAGTTTTCATTTGTTAACAGAGATAAGAGCCATTCGTGTGTGTTTAAAAATCGAACTAGGGTTTTTGATTAGTAGAAAATCCTCCTTTCATAAAATTCTTAATACTTTCTGTCAACTTTTTTTTTATAGCCTCTTGATAACCTTGAACAATAATAGAAAGGTAATGATGTCTCCTTTCGAATTAATCTGTATGTGAAACACAATGTAGGTTGAATCATATAACAAGACATTATTGATATAAAGTCTTTAATATGTTGTTGTTAAGATATCTGACACGTCTGTGTTGAAAGTTCAAATTTCTATATTTATATTTCTTTTAAATAGTGGTTTATAACTTTCTACTATTTCAAAACTATAACATTTACAATAAATGACTATTTTTAGAATGCACTCGATTAGTATCAAAATAATTACGTTTATCTACGGATTACATACCATTAGATATATAACCATCTTTATCCATGTCATAAATTTTGAAAGCAACTAAAATAGAAAATTAAATTATTGAATTTTAATTTTCTATATATTTAATATATACATTTTAATTTTGATTCTTTATCTCCTTTAACACTAAATTGTGATATACCACCAATAAATTCTAAATGTATTACCCATGAAAATCATTTTAACAAAAAAAAAAAAAAAAATGAAAATTTACCTTTAAAATCAATTTCTCCATTTCCATCCGTATCAAAAATATCAATAACACGTTGTACAAGTGGATTTTGTTGTAATTCAGGTATAGACATAAATTCTTGTACACTTAATGAACCACTACCATCAATATCTAATTTCTTAAAACGTTTACCTAAACGACGTATTTCATCCGCATCAACTAGAATATATTCAAATTACTCATCAAACAAATAAAAACAATGATTTTACATGTAGCACAAAGCTCTACAGGAATTGATGTCATATTCCCCTGAATAAATAAAACATTTCAAACATAAAACAATGATTAGTTGATCTTTTTTGTTTTATTCATACCATGTTTGTGTTTAATTAGTTTCTTATATGAGTAAAAAAATAAGACGACGAGTATATAATAATAGATAAATAATGGTAAAAATATATTTATTTATATGTATATATATATTTCTTTTTTACCATTTTCTAGTTTTGTATTAGAACCTCAAATATGATAGTATAATATGTATTTTCAATAGAGGTCGTATATGTTAAAATGATAAGAAAAATTCTTTCGTAATAAAAAAACAAATAATAAGTCAGTTGGTACATTTTCATTTCAAATCTTTAATTATATTAATAAATCAATAAATTAATATTTTGACTATTCATATCTTTTTAAACAATAACACGTAATAGAAAGGTGTTATCGATATATGCGTAGTTTTATTTCTTCCGATTTACTCATTTCATTTATTACATATAATATGAGCATTTATCCTTATTAATATTTTCCTAAGATATATATATATTCTTATGCACATGTATATATTTGTTTTTTTAGATCTTTTTTGTTTATTTTTAATTATTATAAAATAATACAATAATGTCGGAAATAAGTATTCAATCAATGAAAAATACAGATTTAATTATGCCATCTGATGGTCATCATGAACGACAACAACATGATCAAGTTGTATTTGAAAATGTTGCTGATCATTATATTAAAGGTGAAGATGTTATAGCTTATTTTACAATTTTAAATGATATTAAAATTCATTCAAATGATGATCAAATTGGTTTATTACGTGTAAACTTTATGCTTTGTTTTTAGATATTCAAACTAATTTAAATTTTTTTTTTTGTATTAGGTTGGTTCAACAAATATTCAAGAATGTTTAGCATATGCACCTGTTCAATTTAATTCATCAACAACATCAGGATCAACTCGTCATGGTACAGCTATATTTCCATCATCATTATTACCTGTAACAGATGATGAATTTTATCAATTTTGTTATATTATTGATAAACGAAAATGTTTTGGTTCATCAATACCATTTCAATTAAATTGTTCAATTGATGATATTGATTTATTAACAAGTACATTATTAGAAACATCATTCGAAAAAAAATCTATGCATATGAATAATGATGGTCTTATTGCATTACAAGATCAAGATAATGATGATCTTGTTATTATACATACAAAACGTATGTTAATTGAAGAAAAATTACGTCAAGAAAATCGACAATTATTAGAAATTAATCGACGTTTAGAACAACAAAAAGATGAATGTAAAGCTAAACTTGATTTATTAGATTTAAAATCTAATGAATATATTAATAAAATTAAAAATGATATGCAAGTAAGTAAATAATTAAAAGTCTAGAGATTGATCTATTTAGAGAGAATTTCATTATTTTCAGAACTAGTGTAATTCTTTACGAATAGAATTTTCTAAGTTACAAAATTATAGAGATGAATTTGAACATAAAAAAAAAACAAAACAAAAAGCTATAATATCGATTATTATTCAATTATTTTATTTATTTTTTATAGAATCTTGCTGCAAGTCATAAGGTAACTATTGATGAATTATCATCACGTCAACGTTTAGAAGCTAAATTACGTAAAGAATATGATGCATGTCGTTCATTATGTAATCAATATCAAACTGAATCATTACAATTTGCTGAACGTTGTCGTGTACTTGAAGATTTAAAATTACAATTATCTAATGAAACAGATAAATTACATTCACAATTATCAATAACAACAAAATTAAGTGACGAACAAGCAATACATATAATTGATTATGAAAAACGTTTATTAGAATCAAATGAATTATTAAAATCAGCAAAACAATATCAATCTCAATTAGAACAACAATTACGTGATTTACGTTTAACAACAGAAAAATATCAAATATCAATGGAAGGACAAATTGATGCATATACTAAACAAGCATCACAACAAGAAAATCAAATACATGCATTAGAAACGGCAAATATATTATTAAAAGAAGAATTAAATTCAGTTAAAACTGATAATACATTTTTATTAACAATGGCTAAACAAGATAAACAATTAATACAAGAATTACAACAACAAATTAATGATTTTAATGAAAAATATCGATTAGATAATGAACAAGTAAACAAAAAAAGATTTAAAAAATTTATTTAATTCTTTATCATTTTGTTTTATTTAGAAACAAAATGAATTAGAAAAACTTCAAAAAGAATTAGAACAAACAAAAGAAACTCAAAATGATTATATAATTTTAAAAAATTCATTTAATGAAATTGAAAAACGTTGTGTTAAACATCAAAAAAGTGAAATTGAAGTTAAAAAACAATTTGCTGTCTATAAAGAATTTGTTGTAAGTAAATATTCATATTAAACTAGCGAGAACCCGTGCATAGTGCACGGCTGTTTTTTTCTTTAATGCATGACCTCAGACATTTAACTTTTCATCTGGTAAAATACATACAGACACTCGATATTATGTATATAGATAGGTTGCCCTACGACCTCATACTTTCATATCGCACATATTTTTATAGTCCATGCAGCCCTTCGGCCTTATAGCCTTATCTTCCTATTGCCTTACTCCCTTCAGGGCCTATGCGTATCACAATATAATAGCCCTTGGGGACCTATGGGTACCCCCATAGGATAGCCCTTGGGGACCCATAGGTACCCCCATATGATAGGCCTTGGAGGCCTATGGGTACCCCCATAGGATAGCCCTTGAGGATCTATGGGTACTCATAGTATAGCCCTTGGGGACCTATAAGTACCCCATATAATAGTCCCTGGAGATCTTCCCGTTATAGCCTTATGTGATCTTTAACCTTTGATCTCTGACCCGACACAGAGAAAAAACAGACAGACACTGAACATTATATATATAGATTATATCTAACTTCAACATTCAATAATTAAATAATCATGTTTTCAATTCTTCAGTATTCAAATTAAAAAATAAAAGAATTTGACACATGAAAAGGTTTTCTTATTAGTGTGAAAACAGAATAAACTTTTTTTCAAAGTCATATTACTAACAAATCTCAATATTTTTAGTAATCTACGTTTTATGTTTTTTTCTTAGGGTGATTTAGAACGTAAAGTTCAAGATTTAACTGAACGATTATTAGCCGGTGCTGATGAATATAAAGCTCTTTATCGTAAATATACAGCACTTGAACGTATGATTGACAAAACAAATCGACAAAATTCGCCTATACTAAAACCAAATCCAACAACATTATATAATGAAACCGGTCTTAATGAAGAAGCATTAGTCAATCTTCTTCGTAATTCATATCAACTTCAACAACAAGATCAACAACAACAACAAATTCATGAAGAAGAAAATAAAACAATAATAATATCAGAAAAACCAAATGTTAATGAAGAAATACGTGAATGTCCAATGTGTTATTGGGAATTTCCAAAACATTTAACACTTGAAAACAAGAAAGAACATATTGAAAATCATTTTGCTTAGATTAACAAATAAATTGAACGTTCTGTGTGTATATATATATAATGAACTAAGTCTTTTTTTTTTCTTTCTTCAAACATACTCTAGTTCTTTCGATTATTTTTCTTTTTAATTATCTCTTATGAACACTAATATATACATATATATATTTATACTTGATGATTAAGTTCTTCTCTTATTCTTTTCGTTTTTATTTTCTTCAAATAAGATTTTCATGACATTTTAATACTTTATCATGAAAAGAATAAAAAGAAAACAAAAAAAAAATATTGACATGACTTTGAACTTATTAACAATTCAGATTACATATAAATCCTAATCTCTATTCAATATGAAATGTGAATAGACAAAAAAAAAAGCAGCCGACATAACAAATAATTGTATCTATTCAAAAATTGATATTTATATATAATTCAAATATCATCATCAAGTATTTGTATAGCACGTATTCGACTTAATGGTCGTTCTAATTTAGGTTCGTCATTTAATGATAATGGTGTTTCCATACTTATATCTTGACTAATTGATTGTTCACTGATTGTTTCAGTTTTTCTGGATATCCTAGAACGATAAAATCTTTTATATTTAAGATAACAGATTATAAATAAAATTAATAAACATAATAAACAACTAATTAATAGAATAATAAT